CCCCCCCCCCCCCCCCCCTCGCTGTTCGCTCCCTCTCTTTGCCCCTCTGCCTCTATCCCGCTCCCTCCCGCTCTGCCAGGGCTGGAGGAAACCCTGTCCTCGGAAGACCAAGAGGCCCTGCGATCGAGTGACCTGTCTCAAGACAGCACCACGCGACTACGGCCCACCTTCGAAACCCTCGAGGCTTGCCTCACGGAAGGCCGGTAGGAACAATCAACTCTCCCACTAGGGTATCGTTGCCTCCCAGACTGCAAGGTCGTGCACAGCACAAGACATGTTTTCTTCTGTCTCCTGGGCTCTTTCTTCCTCGTTTTTTTGTTGCCAATGTTTCGGTGCGCCACTTTGCTTGTTTTGCGTGGTGTCTTTAGGCCCGTGTGACGTCGCCCGGCCCGTGTTGATCGAGCGTCGCGACGTCAAGGGAACAGCCCTGCCGCTGCTGCAGCTGCTGCAGCTTGCCGACCGACTCGACCTACCCCAACCGCACGTCACTACACTAGGCTCGACGACATCCTTAACCGATCCAATTGTCTCTTTCCCCCAAGCCCCCCCCTCCCCCCCCCATGCCACACGCGCCCACGCTTGCTGGTGCTCCCAGCGCGCTCGGGCTGTCGCGAACCAAGTCCAAAGGCCGGCGAAGCTCCGCCGGTGCCACCGGCGGTGGCGGTGGCGGCGGCGGCGGTACGGGGGAGGTGTCGAACAAAGAAGCACCGTCTACCAGCAGTGGTGTGGTGTCCTCGTCGTCATCTTCGTTGTCCGGTGCGGCCTCCTCCGTATCGGCGGCGGCAGCGGCGGCAGCTACGTCTTGCTTGCCTCTGGCGGGCGAGAGGCCTAGCTCGGAGCCTCTGGGGACGGGGGTGCGATTGTACACCTGCTTGTTCGATGCCGTGGGTGACATCCTTCAAGTGAGCGAGCGAGGGTGGAGGGAAGACAGTGTTGAGGTTGCATCTGTACGGCATGTTCTTATCTAATTCCTAGAGAGTGTATCGGATTGTTTCGTGCAGTTCGATTTCGGGTTGAGGCAAAGAATCGTCTTCTTTTGTTGGATTGTTGTATCTCCCACAATCTGGACCGACCAAAATTTGCTGGTTTCTGTCCCGGCACTCATCGCGGTCGTTTTCGTTGATTTTTTTTCTGGGGCCTTCCGCTAGAAACAATTTGGTCTTGCTGGGATTTGTGTTTGTGTTTTTGTAGAATCGACCCCCTCTCCGTCGCGCAACAAAACCAGTTTGTTTTGTGTCTGCCGAAACCGTTTCAAACACGGCGGGGCGGGCAGGCGGTGGTGAAGGCGGAAGCCAAGCCGTTTCGCGAGGCGAGGAACAATCTGCCGGCGCTCCGAGAGGCCACAAGATGGGCGGCCATCGAGCCATCGTGGGGCTATGCTCGAGCTTTGGCTTCGGAGCTATTCTGGCGCAGAGAAAACGCCGCTCCCGCTGCGGCGGCGAGGGGGGTACACGTAGCAGCAGCAGCAGCAGCGCAGATGGTGGCGGAAGTTGATTCGTCGTCACCAGCCCCAGGCGAACCGACGGTGGGTGCACAGAGCGCGAGAGTTGTACAAGAGGAGCAGGGGGGAGACGTGGATGTGTACTGCATCTGCAGGGAGGGGGATGACGGCGGCGTCATGGTGGAGTGCGACCTGTGCGGGGAGTGGTACCATGCGTCCTGGTAAGAGGCGTCGGTTGTTTTTTGCTGCAGTTTCGTTTTATTTGTCGCCAACACACCCCTCCCCTGTATTGTTGTGGTTGTGTAACGGCAGTTGCATCTTCTTGGCCGGCAACACCCCCCCACCCCCCCCCACCCCCCTCTATCTTTGTTCTCCTTGCACACGTACGGCGATTTTTGAGCGGTCTCTTCCGACTCGATGAAGTGTGTAGGTGCAGTTTTTATTCCCGACTTCGTCCCCCCGTCTCCCTCACGCACGCTTTGCCCTCTAACCGACGCCATCCCTCACTCTCGCTTTGTTCCCTCCTCAACACATTTCCTCACAACTTGTCGGCCGTCCGGGTCTTGTCTCCAAAACGCAAACCTATGTCGCCTCCCGGGGCAGTGTGGGGTTAACAGCGCAGACGGCGGGTGAGCTGCAGCAATACTGGTGCTTGGTGTGCTGCGAGGCGCAACCGGAGAGGCACGGCCCTTACAAGCACAGGTGCAGACAGGGGGGTCGGGTTAGATGTTGGTACGTCTCCGATGTTGTGGACCACTTCGTTGTTTCGGGAAGAAGGTGTCACGTTTGATCAAATGTTCCACCAGGACGAGCAAACGTCGGGGAGGGAACTTCTTTGTCTCGCGCATCGAGCTATGGTGCGCGTAGGACGTACGTAAAAAAAAAATCCCTTGCATTGTTGTGGTGGCGGTAGTGCTGTCTGTCTTGGCGATATCCGTCTGTTGGCGTATGCGAACGGCGAAGGTCGGGAATGAGGGTAGACGGGCGGCGGCGTGCATCATGGCTCCGCGCGGAGGGCGATATCAGAGTGCTCCAGCATACTCACAGAACAACCTGATCCAGGTTTCATCCCAATCACTTGTGCGTGTGTCCAGTCGGGACGTGACGGGTTCCGCCTGCTCGTTTTTCGCCCGTTTGGCTCATGCCAGTTCGGTGGCCATGGAGGCTGCCGTGCAGCCACTCACCAATACAGAGATGCCATCCACAAGATACAATCCCGTTCCGACCAGGCGCCCCGCCCTGCCCGTACATCTACTTACCTCGTTGCCGTGCGTGCTCGTCCGTGGGTCGTCAGGTGGTCGACTAACGTGGCCATCGAAGCCGCCGTGCGCCGAGCAACCCCCCGCAGGACCGCCAACAGAAGCAACAATCAGAACCCGGCACAGCAGCAGCAGCAGCAACAGTTGCCAAAAGAAGTCAGCAGCAACACGGGGGAAGAAGAGGGTGCAGACGGGCGCAGATTCGACTCCCCCGGAAGATGGCCTCGTGCAACCGGCAATGCAGCCACCTCTCCAGCTGGCGGCGAGCGTTCGGTGGGTCCATCCACGCCGAATTTTTCTGACGCTAGCGCTTCGGCCGGCGGCGGTGGCGGCGAAGGAGCGGTTGCTGACGGTAGCAGCAACGGCGGCCAGGATCATCATCCGGTAGCCGGCGGCCGCCCCCCTGTCGTCGTCGGAACAAAGGCGGCCGCAGAACCAGCCGGCTTGGCTTCCAAGCGCCTCCGGGACAAGGGGTCGTCCTGCCACGGCCGTGGCGGTGATAACCGCCCGGGGGCTAAGCGTACCCGGGCGGCGGGGTCGGTGGCGAGGTATGTCGAGTCGGTGGCGCGAGAGTTCGCCGGTCTGGGAATCCCTTTTCCCCCCCTGCCGCCGCCGCTTAGCCCCCCGAGAGAGGCACCGGCGGTTGCGGCGGCGGCGGCGGCGGCGGAACGCTGCTGCCGCCGTACCGGCGTTGTTGCCAGAGTCATGGGAAGCGAGGCATCGTCTGCAGGGAGGTGTTGTGCTGCGCTTGTTGTTGACGACGTGCAGGAGGTGGCGGCACTCGACGTGGAGCCGGCGGCGGCGGCGGTCGGCGGCAGCGGCGCTGGTGTGGTTGCCCGGGCCAGGGGAAGCGAGTCTTCTTCGGGGTGCGGGGTGGGTTGTGCTGCTCCCGCCTTCGAGGAGAGGACCTTTGATGATATGTGTCGTCCAGGGGTTGGGGAGGGGCGGGAGGGGGGCGGTGGACAGCAAGGAGAAGGGAAGGGAGCGGAGGCGTTGTCGCAACCCGTTGTGCTTCGTCCTAATCCGATGGCGGAGATTCTCGCCGGAGCTGGGTTGGTCGGCAGCAGCGGCGGTGGTAGTAGCAGTGGCGGTGCGGAGCAAGGGTTTGTTGTTGTTACCCGTCACAGGCCCCAGCAAGGCAGTGGCAGTCGCCATGTGTACCTGCACCAGCAACAGCACCACCGGCAGCACCACCAACACCAAACTCTGAAGCAAGGCAAAGGATACGGCTATGGCATGGTGTGGCCGCCGCCGCCGCCGCTACCATCATTCCCGGGGATCACCCCCAAACCGCACACCCAACACTCCAGCAGCATAGAGCCGCAATCGTCGACGAGCGGGGTGCTGCCGTTCGGTGTTGTTCCCGCTGCTGAGCCCTCTGCGGTGGGGCCCCACGCCCGGTGTCTTCAGGCGGTCCGCCCCCGTTCCCACGGCGACGGCGGGAGTCACGACAGCGGTCGAAAGGAGGATCACGCCGGCACGTTGCTCGAAAAACGAAGCGCTGGCGGCACCCGCGGGCAGGTCATCGGGGTAAAGGCAAGCACGGCCGTCGTGACGGAGGCGTTGGCATGGACCAGCCACGAACAGAGGCCGACCGCTACTACTTGTGCTGTTGTTGGACGCGATCAGGCCGAAGCGGGCGGCATGGGAGCGGGGAGCACGAAAGGTACATAGATATCGGTCGCCCCGGTGGTCTAGTGGGTAACCTCGCAGCCTGCGAAGGGCCAGGTCATGGGTTCGAGTCCCGACAGAGTGAGTTTGTTCTCAGTAATTAAATCCTGGTCTCCGTTGGAAGCGACGCGTTGCAAAGCTCGTTGTTAGTAAACTTCATCGACTTCATAAGTCGCGAGGGAAGGGACTGCTGTACCCTTCTCGCGATAAAAATATCTCAGGCAGGAACCGCAGGAGGGGGTCCAAACCCTCCCCTCCTGTGTGACCCTCGTTAGGTCGTCTAGCTAGTAGAAGTGGAGGATAGGGGCCAAAGGGGCAGACGACAGAATCCTATGATGGGAGAAAAAAAATCGAGCGATCGACCAACGGCGATGACGTGGGCTGTGTCGAATCAACGGGGCGCATGAGATCGTGAAAACAGCGAGGGATGGGGGTTTTGGAGATGTGCACCACAGCATATCTTGTGTTGTTTTCGTATGATGTTGGGCGACAAGATCGATGGTTATGGAGTCGACCTTAGATGGGGGACATTTTGTCTCATACAAACAGAGATGCAAGTTCGTGCCGGGCGAGAATTGTGTTGCATATATCTCCCTTTCTATGCGTACATTCCGTTCGACGTTTGGTCCCTGGTCGTGGTGCACTGGCCTTCGGTGGCACATACCACTCCGTTAGTCTAGTTCCTGTGTGTGTAGTCTATGTACTTTAGTTTCGGATCCCTGTGTGCTTACGTCATGTCGTCATGTATCTATGTATGAAGTGTAGCTTTCCTTGCTCTGGGGTCTACGCGTCTACGCAGTCTGCGGATTGCTGCTGTACTGCTGTGCGGAAGCCGTCATGACATTTTTGCCTCTGGCATTTTTGGTGTGCGATGTTGAACCTCGAGAGCAGCTTGTGAGGCGGACTTTGTCAATCTGAGCAACGACGCTTGCATGGATGATGTCTTCGGTATTTCGGTTCGCACGGAGGTCGCGTCTCGTCTGTTCTGCCGCGAAAACCTTGTGGGCAAAGTCGGTGGCGATATTCTACATCGGTCCCAAACGTCAATAGGACTACTGCTTTATGTATCGCAAGGTTGCATGAAGGACATCCCGTGGCCAGAGCTAAGCCGACGCAGCGCGCCATCGCTCGCGTTGACGAAACCACCGTGGAAACTCGTCGCGTGCGCGCAAGTTTAAGACGTCCGGTACATCCCGTTACTACGATCGGCCACGCGACCACACCCGTCGTAGGCTACTGGCTTGTTGGCATGCCGCCAATCGCCGCAAGTGTGCGCGTGCAGTGTGCAGAGTTTGGTTGTTGTTGTTCTTGACTTCACATCAAACCGTATGCCAGTTGCTAAATGCCAAAATCTAGCAAAGACTCTCGGCCCGTGGTCACGAAAGTGCTAGAGCCATCTGAGGATCTAAAGAACACGCACACGTAGCAAGAAAAAGGTAAGGTATCCAAGAGCCCGAAGAGGTACTACTACACCTATATATAATCCCTGCAGCACCGCACGCGTGCCCAAAACTGAACTACACGTCCGTCTCACCGTTCGACTACAGTAACATCACCCCCTACCTGTCCCACTCTGTACCAAAACGAATGATTGCCGACTACAGCATACTTGCTGTCTGAAGTGCTGTCTGTACAAAAACACCATGGTAGGCATGG